ATATATTAATAAATTTTATTATAAAGAAAATATATAATCTAAATTTTATATAAAAGGGAAAAAAAACAATGTCGTATGCTTAATCACCGTCAACTTTACTTCCTCCTCTTTTACCTTTTCTTATACTTTTAAACAATAATGGTATTTCCTCTGCAAGTTTAGCTGCCTCATTTTTTACTTTAGTTTTGGCATTTTCTAATTCACACTCCTAAAAAAAAAAAATAAATTTTTACTTAATAAGAATATTTGTAATTAATAAAATTCATCTATACTATTTGTCAGATAAAAACAAAAAATTATTTCTGTGTATTATTTATCATTAGAAATATCTATCATAATACATTTTCATTTATAATACGCATTGAAAAAATATATTTAAACTTACGCATTCCTTTAAATTATATGCTTTTATTAATTCGAATAATTCATAAACGGTCCATAGGCATTCGTCTTGTTTTTGTAGTTTTACAAATGCACACGAGGGTTGATGATTTTCATGTTCTTTCCTAAAATCCATAAATGATGATAAAAAGATGAATAACATTAACAAAAGCATATTACCAATAAATTACAAACCATGGATCATCGGTAGGTTCCCAGCCATCAAGTTGCTTAGAACAAATAAAACATTCTACTAAATCTGGTTCTTCCTTTGTTGCTTTGGAAAAGAAACCGGCAGAAGCCATACGTTCTGGACTACAAGCATCTTCGGAAGATTGATAAGGCCAATCTTTGAACGTTTCCAATCTCACCGTTTTCCAAAATAATGATGAAGTTGTTCTATTATTATTAACATTAAATAATATTTTAGCATAATAGAATAAACGACAAAAATGAAATCATAAAATATATCAGTATTTATATATATATATATATATATATATATATATATATATATATATCAATTGTGTTAATAAATGATCAAATTGAATAAAAAAAAAATGTTATAAATATTTAAACGACTTCTGTAAAATTTAATTAATAGAATCCATGAAAATAATGATAATAATTTCAAGAAAAATGATCGTATTAATCGTATATTCCCGCACATTCTGTTAATTTAGTTACATAAAATTTAGGTTAGATTATATATCATATTGAATATTTCGTGTAATTTTTTGAAGAATTAAATTTGATAAATGTAAAGTGTGCATACATACGGTAAAAAATCCATATCGCATATATTTTACGATATAATGTTGTTAACAGAAATTGAACGACCACAAAATTATTTGTCGCGTTCTATACTTGTGTGTAACTGTCAAAGCAAGCGTCACAATGATAAATAAATAAACATTGAATTCCAAGTAAATTTATTCTTTTTATTCTTAACGAGTTGCGAGTTTTTCTTTGTATCTTTTTTTATCTCTCTCTCTCTCTCTTATTTATGTTAACTCATATCACGATAGATCTATTTACACAATGTATATCTTCATTTCATGCATAAAAATCTCCAGGGAATCGTTCAACACTTTCAAATGTTTTAACCTAACCTTCCCATTGATTCATTAAACTCTTTCTATTGGTCGTTCTATATTATTGCATTTGTTTTTTGTTTATCTCGAAAAAGCGGGAAACTTGAATAATTAATTCTCCATTAGTTTTTATTAACATCGAATGACAATAATAATAATAATAATAATAATAATAATAATAATAGTAATTAATATATGTGTATATGCGTACTTGTTGACTTAGAAAAGGATCATTCAGTTATTATTCCTTTTATTTCATACCTCTCGAAAATCTTATTAGGACACAATTATAATACAAATAAATTATCGCACAAATAGATTTTTTCGATTCATAGAGAATCCATTAGATTTTAATGCTATAGTATAGAAATCTATTTAACTTTTTTAATATAATCAATAATGGCAACAAATCAATTGTAAAAAGACATTTCGTGTCATTCTTTTCTTTCTTTCTTTCTTTCTTTCTTTTTCATTCTTTTTTTAAACTTTATCACAGAATATAAGGATAATTAAACAAAAACGACCCAGTAATACAAATTACAAAAATGACATAAATCAGGCGTGTGTCAATATTCCAATCGTATTTAACGAAACATAATTGATAATATACTTTAAAAATCTGCCTGTATTCCTATTTTCTTTTTCTTTTTACGTTTCTCAAATAGCTCCGCGCACACAAACGCATTATTGTGTGAGTTTATTTACATATATATGTAAATAATACTCATACATTCACGAATGTCAAGAAGAAGAGCAATACATACAACTATAAATTCATTTTGTCCTCGGTAGAGACACGTCTTTTGTTATGTTCTTACATATATATATACATACGTTCTATCGTACGACACATATACACATACGTATATGTATTTAAAAATAAAAAGGCCATAAGAAAATAATGGAAATGTTGGATATTTTCTGTAACGTTTCCATTATTATTACATTACATATTTATTAAATACTTAATTAAGAAATCTTTAGATAAAAGTAATACCATTTGTTTTACAAGATCTCTTATTATCTTTTTCTTAATATAAAAAATAAAAAGAAATTTACGTGTTATACATAAATTTTCTAATGAATCATACAATATAGATCTAAATAATATAATATAATATATTAATATATAAGAAAAAAGACAATAGTGTATGCATATATATATATATATAAATATATATATATATATATATATATATAAAATATTAGATTGTTAAAAAATATTTGTCGCGTTACTTGTGAAGAAGTGAATGATATTTAGATATAATCTTAATTTTTAAACGATAAACATGATGTGTGTGTTTGTGTGTGTATATATATAAGAAATTTTACAGTACATATTATATATTCGAAATCGATTAAACCAAAATTTAAATTTATTTTCTAATTCACTATATATATATATATATATTTTTTTTTTTTTTAATTTATCGTGATTCACTGGATATTTTAAGAAATACATACAAACAGACATATATACGTTCTCGATCTGAAAAGGATATCAATAAGATATATTGACGAAATACGATATTTTTCGAAATTGTACATACATCATACATACATACATACATGTATACATCATACATCATACATACATCATACATACTAACATACATACATTACGTATATACGTACGTACGTACGTACGTAAATTTATAAATAACTACAAATATGTATATCCAGATAAGGCATAGTTAAGGCAAGCTGCACGAGATAAGTAGGATAAGATGTGTTAAATTATAAAAAAAAATTATACTACTTTTTTGTTTTTTGTTTTTTCTTTTTTTTTCTCTTTTTTTCTTTCATTTGTTGTTCCAATGAACTTCTTCTTTTCTTTTCTTCTTTATCTCTTTCCTATTTTTTTATTTTCATTCAAATCAAGGTATAAAAACTAGAAAAAAAAATATATTGAATTAGGCACTTTAGAATGGCAACATATATATACTGTTATATATCTGCTAAGAAAGTATGCTTATATGTTGTTTAATTGTAGTGAATTATGTAACACATTAAATGACGTGATGATAACACGATGTGGGAATTGCTTGGAAAAAAAAAAAAAAAGAAAAAGATAAAAAAAAAGAAAAAAGAGAAGGAAAAACCAGTATTGAAGAAAAAAAAGAAAGAAGAAAAATGTTAAGAAAAACAGAAAGAGGAAAAAAGTAAAGAAAAAAAAAGAAGAATGCAAAAAAGAAAAAAGAAAAAAGAAAACAAACGAAAAGAAATCTGTCAAATTATTTTGAAAATCTAAGAGTTTATTTTGAGATTTATCGCAGGATTTGTAACCGTGCCAAAGTAAAATATCATTCATTCTAATAAAGATCTACATTGTCACGTTTAAGAAAATTTATACTTCACTTACGATATCTACATATGTATACGTATATAATTTATAGATAATATCATTCTATCTATCGACTACGTAAATATTTCTGATATTGATCTTCAAGAGAATTTTTTTACACGTATCATGGCTACACACATTTAAATTTTAATACCTAAGTATTTTTATTTACTTGGTTAAGAACAACAATAACAACAATAAAAACATCAGATCTATTGTTGGCCCATCCTTCTTTTTTCTTATTTTTTTTTTTTTTTTATTTTAATCATCCTTTGGATACTTTTGTCGCGAAAGTATTATTTGTGATTTTTTATTTATAAGTTATCTATAAGTTATATATATATATACACGCACGTGCACACACACACACACACACACATATTATATAACACTTTTAAGAATTTTTTCCAAGTATTGCCATATTGCACGTTATGTAAAAAAAAAAAAAAAAAAAAAAAAAAAAAAAAAAAAAAAAAAAAAAAAACAGAAAAAAAACAAACAAACAAGAAAAAGAAAAAACTCAATGAAATCTTACAATGTAATTTAGATTCTTATTATCAGGTGTTCATCGATTTTTTCTTATTCGAATAAGTAAATTAAGTGTGGACATATATAGATATATGTGTGCGTGTTTGTGTGTATCACATATATATGCATATATATGCATTTATGTTTGACGACACGATCGACGAATAATTAGAATGATCAAACTGTTTATATTATTTAACGTCGAAATCATAATAGTTTTTGGATGTGCTTTAATAAAGATTAAAATAATCTGGAATAATAGTTAACCTTTATTAAATTTTGGTACGGTTACAAGCCCTGAGACTTTTAACTATGGTCCATATTTTCCATCAATATTATTATTAATTATTGATAACATAAAAGGGACAGTTTTCTACATTGATCTAAGTTTATGATGCAATCGAATAAATAATGTTTATAACAGCAAAGTGAATAGAGCAAAGATCTATATGCGAGCATTCATAATTATAAACAATACTAATTACCACGTCTAAGTTAATAAATATATGTATATGTATATTAGATAAAATAAATAATAAATTGAAACATATTACATCTCCATTATTATTTTGTAACTTGAAATTACTATGAAGGCATCTCTTCTGAAATATCTTTGGAATAATCGTAAAGTTATTAACGCGTATTAAATTAATATAAGACTAATTTTGTCTTAATATATTTTGTTTGTAAAACACAGTCTTTCTACTAAATACTGTAAAATATTGTTAATAGAGTGTGCATATTACTTCATATAACTTATAATTCAACGTTTGTCTTTTATAATAATGGATAAAAATTATATTAAATAAGAATTATGCGGTGAGATAATAATTAAGAACTGTACCTAGAAGTAAGAACAGCTATGCAGAAAAATTATAAAACATCATGGAAGCGTTAACTATCACCTTATCTCAGTATTTTATGCTATAATTAACTGTTCATTACTTCTAGGAAATAATAAAAGAACTTGATTAACATGATTTGTATTATATCCTTATTAGAAATTTTGTGCTATATACTTATGCAAATACTTAATCAAACACAGTGATATAACATATTACGAATAAATACAATTTTTTTTTTTAAATGTAAATTTCAAATTTGTTTGAAATATGCCTTTATATACCGCTTTGATATTTTGTAACTTATCAATTAATTCTATGCACTGAAGTATATTATAAACCCTGTATATTAGTCTATATTGAGTACTACAGTATCTTTTTTTTTTTTTTTTTTTTTGCTTTTTTCTTTCATGTAGCAGAAATAACGGCATAATAAAAAATTCTTTTAGATGGTAACAAAGCTAAAAACAAAGAAGCAAAGAAAAAAAAAAGAAAAAACAGAAAAAACAATAGTTAAATAAAATATTAATATTAATTTTCAAATGTATACCATGTCATTTGTAAATCCATTCTTTAACATATATTATTAAAAATAATCTAATCATACCGTGCAATGCATAATCTCAAGAATTAATTAATTACTCATGCACATGTTCAAATAATAAGAGGAAGCTTTATAAATTTCATTAATCCAAAGATTACGTTTGAACACTGTTCATAATCATACACTGATTATTTAAAAATAGTTTTTCCTTTTTTTCTTGCAGTAACATAAATTAGGCAAGGAATGACAAAAAATGCCATCTCTTCTAATTTTGTAATGTTCATATTATTAGCACCAAATATGTCAATCGTTTAGATGTGACATTGTTATTTTAATAAAAAAACATACTATATATAATATTTTTTGTGACTAGAATATTCATTTGCGCCGTTTACCAGACAGCAATTTATATATAATTGTCTATATAAACAATTCTTGGTTATATTTTTAAAAAAGTGATCGATATAGATACAAAACATTTTTGTATATAAAACTGAAGAATGTATAAGAAATTTTGTATTTCCACCTGTGTGTGACATGGTAATTTTTATATAAATTTTTCTTTTATCTATGACTCATGTGTCGAACATTTGTAGTAATATTAAATTACTAGGCAATTTTATAAATAGTACCATAATTATTGAATTGAGCAAACTTTTGAAGTTCCTTGGGACTCATCCATTGCTGCTGCACGTCTTTTAATTCCTTCTATGTATATATCACGATTAAATAAACCAGCTGCAAGAGGTATTCTGAAAGAAAAAATACATATAAGCATTCATTGAT